ATATATATATATATATATGTGTGTGTGTGTGTGTGTGTGTGTGTGTATGTATTTTTTACTCTAATAAATTTTTTATATCAAATATTACAATTACTGAAAGTAATCTTCTATATTACATCATATGTCATCATATACTACTATAGTAGTAACACTACTGGCTCAGCATTGACACTATTGCGTATCAGTAGTAATACTACTGCAATAGCAATGACACTAGTAATATTTTTATATTTCCAAATAGTATTGAAAACTTGTATGATAAACTTGACCAACAAGTTAAATTTCATTAATTTAAAAATCGAGATCATTTTGATATCGATTCGAGGTAGATTAGTCTAACTAGACTTTGATAGAATCGATATTTTTCCTTGATTTCGTGCTCATTTATGGTAAGAGACAGCTAATAGATTGTCAGCATTTATGGTAAGAGACATTATTCCTTGAAATTCCTGAATACAAAAGTGATGTAATAAGATTATATTAAATAAACTACAAAGTACAAATAAAAGTAATGTTATTCAGCAGGAGTAGAATAATACAATAAGATACAAAGAATTACTAGAAGAAAAGATTTATGGTAAGAGACAGCTAATAGATTGTCAGCATTTATGGTAAGAGACATTATTCCCTGAAATTCTTCAATACAAAAGTGACGTAATAAGATTATATTAAATAAACTACAAAGTACAAATAAAAGTAATGTTATTCAGCAGGAGTAGAATAATACAATAAGATACAAAGAATTACTAGAAGAAAAGATGTAGACGATAGTTGCAAAAATCGATAGTTGCAAAAAATGTTCCGATTCCGATATAAAAAAATTCCACAATTTTCTAAAAAGTTATAAAATTATTTATAAATTCTGAAAAATTTTGAGAAAGCTTTTATGATTACAGCGATATTGCAATTGTCGAAATAAAATCGAAAAAAATATCGATTCGGCCTTTGAACGAAAATATTCAAAATATAAGATTACGTATCACAAATTTATACCAAAAATATTAAAAATGAATCAAACTCTCATTGCACTCTCTACATATGTATAATTTTTTATTACTCAAAAATGTTGAAATTTCGATGCAAGTTTCGAATCAATAACTTTTACATCGTAACGACGTCGAAACGACGTTTTTTCGAGGAACTGAGATTTCTGACTGAGGCAAGCTTTGGCGTATGACATATGATTTATTGCCGTCTCTTAGAGTCACGACAATAAGTTGTACGTCATACGTGAAGCTTGTACGTTACTTATGTCTATAATTTAAATCTAAGTAAGTGTTATGACAATTCTTGTGCTCAGACGCCTAAGCTTTAAGGTTATTGCACGTAAAAATCGTAGTCATAATCGTAAGCCGTAAAAAGTATTTGAACAAATCGTTGATTTTAACCAATTTTGCTAAACATTAGTTAACCACATACTAAGGATCCTTTTAATCTATATTTTTCAGATATGGCAAATTTATTTAATCTTGTGTTATCATCTTCCGATGATGAAAATAATGAAGAACAACAAAAAAGACAAAGGAAGTTTAAACAACAGTTTATAAATTATTTTGACAAATTAGATTACATAGAATTTAAAATGTGATTTCGATTAAACAAACAATCAGTATTATTAATATTAGCAGAAATAAAAGTTAGAATTTATTACTAACTGATATGTTAAAATTATTGTATAATTAAATTTTTAAGCATTAAGAAAACGAATATATACAAGATCATTTATAGGAATAATGCAATTTCTCCTATGGAATAATTATTATTATTATAAACAATTATTATTATTATACACTTCGCATTTATGCTACTGGATCATTCCTTACAATAGATGATTTTTCTAGTGTAAACACAACATCTGCATATTACATATTTACATAAGGTCAGCTAGGCTATGACTTCGTTATATTCACTTCCCGCATCGAATAAGAAATAAGGCAAAAATAATTATGTTTTTATAATGTTGTTCGCTTTCCATTGGCTGCATAGATTGTACACACGTACAGGTCCAGTCATTTGTCGAGTTATCATTCCAGCAAAGAATGGATTAAAATTTTTTTAATACGTACTTTAAATCCATGAAAATGGATTAAATGGATTGAAATGGATCCGACACTAGTTAATATTCGAAAAAAAAAAAAAAACATTCATCTTTAAGAGGATTACAAATTTTATTCCTAAGATATTTATAATAATTATACCTGAAAATTAACTACTTCAAATTAATATTACAAAATGCATCTTAATGGGATTCGAACCTGAATCCTCTGAGTTATGAATCTTCTACGTTAACTGCTATACCACTTCTTCAATTAGTAAATGTGTTATTTATTCTCTACTTCAATTACAATCAGCTAAACAAGTAACGAAATTATATAAATATAATAAAAATATCATCATTTAATAGATATGATAAAGTATAAACAATTTACATTACTATGAGACAACATTGGGTAAATATCGAATAATCTAATCTCGCTTGGCCGATGTCGTGCGCCGTGATTAGTCTAATATTCGGACTTATTCGACTTAGTTTTCACATTGAGTATTTACATCGATCATTCATTTTATTTCTAATTAAAGAGAAACAAATGAACATAGCTCAATTATTTTTTACAATTTTTTGAATTAAAATAAAAAATTTCCTACTTATAATTTTAAATAATAATTTAAGTAGCATTTATATTACTTAAGATCCATTAAAAAAAAAAACTTGTTTTATTCAATTAGATTGAAAAACTACATTTCATATTCAGAATATTGAATTGAGTATTCACGTTGCACAGAAATTGTGCAACGTGAATGCTCATATTATTACATTACAATGCTAATATTATTTTTGGATTGAAAAGCATAGACATTTGCTTTATGCAATTCCTATAAATGAATAAAAATGTATTCAGGATTGAAAAGGATTCATTTTAATATTCATGAATCCGTACTTCTGAAAATCTGAATCCATTTTAATCCATTTCATTCCATTTTATTCCATTTTCTTTGCTGGGATAAGAATATAGTATTTTAATTACTTTATTTATCTAATTAATATTTATTATTATATATTTACATTTATATTTTGATTATTACAGAAAATGCTGAATTATTTCGTAATAGAAAAGATTACTTTTCTTTAAATGTTCAAACAGTGTGTAATAACAATGTTGCATCAACAAAAAATTTTTTTGTCTTCTTCTTTAGTTAGTCCCAACAACTTTTCAAAACTTCGACATTCACCAGAACTACTATTACTCTACTATTACTCTACTACTCTACTATTAAATTTCTATAACTTTCCAATATTTTTCTTTTGCCCGTATTCATAATCAGACCTTGTACTTAAGGCTTCCTTAAATTTATCTTTAGATGTTCAGCAGCCAATGAAATAATTCGTAGAGTATCTAAAGATAAATTTAAGGAAGCCTTACATATAAGGCCTGACTATGAATACAGGCATATGTTATTTGATGCTTATTGTAACACTACGAAGAAAAAAATATATATTTTGAGATATGCTTTTTATTTCTATTAGAACAAACGCTGAACCAATCATTATTCGATATTCTTAAGTTTCCTAAAGTTATGTCGCACAAGTTATAAGTTTAGTTAAACGTTCTAGAGTAGAACGGAGTATTTGTAGAAACCATTCAATATTAAACTGAGGGTTCGGTCAACGTGATGCTATAAACGCTTTGAAGTGTTTTTTAATTAGTCAGTTTGTAAAATTCTTTCTCTTAATAATCCAGCAAACGTTTTAAAGCATTTGTAGCTAGACTTTGATCACAGCCTGAGAGTTACGAAGTAATAAGGAGATCAAACTCGAAGTCTTAGGATCATTCCACTTGCATAACCACATAACTATATACATAAAAAAAATCATTCAATCGTATTTTATGTTTGCTTTATGACATAATTACATATGAAATGTGATTGGATAACTTTTGTATGCATATGCAGCTGTGCAAGTTGTGTGAAATAACTTAAACACAAGGCACAGGTAATATAATAGGAAATATGCACAGGCATAAGTAACAGGAAATAACAAGCCGTCCAATCAGAGCTTTGGTATGTAAATATTACATTGAACAGCTCGTTATTCCCTGTTCTTTGTGCCTATTGTGTTTAAGCCTTTGCAATAAAAGGAACAGGGAATAGAGAACAGAAAATAAGAATTTCAACCTATCAGAAATCATATATTGTGTAATACATAGTTTTTGAAATTCTTATTTTCTGTTCCTTGTTCCTTTTATTGTGCGGAGTGAAAGTGAGCTCGAAACACGGTGTATGAATATGTAGTATGTATGTGTAGTAACACATATTTGTAACGTGTAATCTGTGACCAAGTGACAATCAATACTTCCAACTTTTCCCGCAAGGCGTGATGGTATTAAAATCACATTGCTGAATTTTCCATGGATTTTCCTACACCGTGTTTCAACCCTATTTTTTTTCAAGACCGGCCGCTTGATCTTCTGAGTTTGATCTCCTTATTTTATTACTCCATGCTGAAAATAGTCAACCAAAGTTTCACTAAGCTGTAGTTAAAACCAATATTGGTAGAAACGGCCCAGAAGAGACGAAGGGAGATTGACTAGGTATGTATAGTATTATAATATTTACACATATTATAATATTTACGTTCGCTTGACTTATATTTCGGTAGAACAATATATATTTGTGTCAACATGATTTCAATGAAATGAATTCAATGGAATGAATGAAATGAATTCTTATTTCTCGCATTAAATTAAACTTTAAAGATTAGCATACTGCGATCGATCTTTTTGCTTCAATCGTTTCATAGGCCTGATAGATTGTCGATTGTTTCTCAAGGTTGTTATAAAAAATAAACGGAAAACGTGCAGCCTCTTTCCTCCCTCTCGGAGATGACAAAACAACGCAAAAATGTGGGAGTAACAGCGAAAATTATGGAACCGTTGCTGACGGTGCCGGAGCCGAGAGTTTCTCAACGCATCGCATCAATATCTTCCTTGCCTGCTCAATCAAAATACATCAAGTTACTGCGAGTCATAGAGCAGTTAGGTCGCGATCTTAAACTTTGTTACACCGGCGATAACATTAACAAAACATTATCTAAGGTTGAACGCGACATTGCGAAGGCATGCTGTCTAGTCCAACAATGCCGTGCCGAGGCTATGAAAAGTGCCAGAAAAGCGTGCTAATAACACTGTGTGCTTTTATAATGAATTACACAACACCATTTACATAGAGAACTCCTCATGTTATAATGCAAACATATATTTTTAAAATAGTACTTACTGCATTGTGCAGAAGTTTGTATTATTAACAGTATTCATTCTGTTTTGAAAATTGCTCCATATTTTAGATCCACTCAAAATTCTTGATAACATACACTGCTAAAATTGAAGTACAAAGGTTATAACTTTAATGTCCTTTTCTATTCAGTTTTAAATATTGTTAAATCTTTTATCCTTTGTGGAAAAAAACTTTAATGACATTCATATGAGAAAGAGAGTCAATATTGAATAATCCATAATCTGTACAGTGGATAATTAACTTATTGTTATTATGAAATCATGACTCTCTATCAGCTGAGCTAATGTTCTTGAATATCAAGAATTTCAACAAAATCAACTGTCTTATACTTAAGCAAATATTCCATGTATTTTCTACAAATCTAAAGAGCCATTACATAGCTCAATCTAAAGCAATCTATAATCAAATGAATGATTGTTCTGCTACCTCTTGCATATTGTAAGAAATTTTGAGTGGAAAGTATTATCCCATTGTGATAGAAACAAATTCATAATGATTTTGTAATGTGTTATTGTTAGGTAAAGAATAAGCTGAAGTGATAATTATAATAATGGCAACATTCTATTGAAAACTAATGGAAGAATATTTCTATCAAATATCTCAATTTGGCTAAATTTAATTAAATAACTAATTAGCTACTAAACAATTTTCTTTTTTTAATAAATGAATAATAATATCGAAAAAATTAAATACTGCCAAAAAGTAATAGTATCCTGTAATAGTGATATTTTTTATTATTTATTTTATGCTCTTGGTTTGTAATAGACTTTATATAGATAATTTGTAAAGAATTTATGTTTTTCTTTTCTTAATAATATTTATTTATTAATTTAAAATAATACAATTTGTGGAAATAGTGATATATATTTAAAGCCTTAACATGTATATAATCCATAAATAAAGTACAAATTATACAAATAGTACAAATATAAACACAAGATGCGTATAAGATCCTATGATAAATATAAGAGAAATGCCAAGTAAAAAATGATACAAATGTGTTCCTATATTTAAATTTCGTGTAATATCTACAATGAAATAAACATTTTTTTATTGAAAAAGAAAAGAGCTGTGTCCATTGCAACTCATATTTTTCTTTCAGTTTGTTTCATATATATTGATATTCTCATTTCTTTCTTTTTTACATCTTTTCGCTATATTTATTTCACAATTAATGTGCTGCTTTCAATACTATCTTTTACATGTATACATTGATTATGGTCAAGATTTATTGACTATAATTAAGAATAATCGCTATCTTGTTTAAATTTATGTAATTATTATATGTAAGTTTATGTATAATCCTAAAACCGCAAATTCAAATAGTTTTTATTAAATATCATTTAATGATGCATAACTCTAAATTATGTCAAAATTTATTTTGTTCCAGATAATTGACAGAAAGAAATGGCAGAAGACGAGATATATGTACGTACATTGGCTACATTTAATACAAAATTTCCAGCAGACACTGTCGAATGGTGTCCTATAGAACCATATCGAAATGTGTTAACATGTGGAACATATAAATTAAATAAAAATGAATCTAATACAAAATCTACCTATAGACAGGGGCAAATCTTATTGTTGCGTATAACAAATGGTGGAGAGTTAGAATTGTTGCAACAAGTATGCACTTCAGCTATATTGGATATGAAATGGTTACATGTCATAGATATTGTAGAAACTCGAATATTACTCGCAGTTGTCGATTCCATGGGATACTTACAAATTTATCAACTGAAAAACGATGGAAAAAGAATAGAATTTATCACTAAATTAAAAGTCAATGATGAGGACAATGTCATGGCATTATCTCTAGATTGGTCCAGAAGAAACAGCCCTGCTTCTGATCCTATCATTAATACGAATATTCTTGTGAGCGACAGTACAGGACACATCTCTCGTTTTACGTGGGGTGAAGCGGGTGATCTGACGAAAGATTTTACATGGCCCGCTCACAAGTTCCATGCGTGGATTGTCGCCTTTGATTACTGCAATCCATTAATTTTTTATTCTGGTACGACGATATATGATTTATATGAAAGTGAATCTATATAGAATCTATATAGATTTTTGACATATGCAATTTATTTTGGTATGCAGCCTATTTATATTATATATTTTGCTTAATTTATAACAATTTTTTGCGGTTAGCAAAAATTGCAATAGGCATATTAGTATGCGTTGGTGCATATCAAAGCTATATACACTGATTTAATCTAAGTGTAAAAGTGATATGCAAATATCTTGAATTATAAAATACATATTTTATTAAACAGCACAATAAAGTGTACTGACGATTTTGCAGCTCAACACAATTTGTGTATATGTGCGCGCGCGCATCTAGTCGAATTTATTATTTAGAATAGTATAATTCAATTGAGTAAGAAAACTCAATAAATTTTTTTATAAATTAATTTATAAATTTCAGGAGGCGATGACAATAGATTCCTATGTTTTGATAGCAGAACTGGATCTCATCCTGTAGTTGAAAATAAGAAATATATTGCCGGTGTTACTAGCATCCATAGTAAAAAATTCTTACTCGCAACAGGAAGGTAAAAAAATTTTCGATAATCACTTTGCGTTCTCTTTTTTATTTCTCAAGAAAATAAACATTTAAAAACTCAAAGATCTCCACATTCAATTTTTCATATGCACGTGTGTGAAACCTTATGATTTTTATAAATTTTTTTTTCTTTATCTGTACATTATTAAAATTAAAGAAATTTAATCTACATATTTTATCTTCTATGATTGCAAAATTTATTTTGGATAATTTATTTGATAAACTTTTCTTTAAACGATCAATATGCGCTTAAATATTTCAGTTACGATCAGAATATAAGACTGTGGGATAAGAGAAACTTCGCTCGACCAGTATCGACGATTTGTCTCGATGGTGGAGTCTGGCGTTTAAAATGGGATCCGTTTACTCATCAATACCTGCTTGCCGCCTGTATGCACAATGGTTTCAAGATCATTAATCATGATATATTATCATCTGTCGTTGTCAATTATAAAGAACACAAAGGTTTATCGTATGGCTGTGACTGGTCATTCTTAAAACAGTCGGATATTTCGAATTTAAACATATCTAATGGAGATACCTTGATGAGCACTTGTTCTTATGAAGATCGTCTCCTTAAAGTATCTGTAATTGATTTTTGGCCGGATAAACGTATTGAGGAAAAAGATTACTAATATGGATAAGATGAAAGATATTTCTGAATAAACATTATGGCAATTTAGAAACATGAAATGATATGTTTCATAATTATATATGCTTATTTATATAAAAATTATTAAAGTAATCATAGAATGACAAATGAAAAAAAATGATTCGAAGACTTTATAGATTTTTCTAATAAATCAATAATTCGATGTTTATTAAATTTGATATAGACCCATATCTAGAACGCGCTTATAATGATGTAGCACGCTATAATTTACGCATACTATAGAATTTTAGAGATTAAAACGCGCTTTTATTGATAAAAGCGTGTTCTGAATACAGGTCATAATCTCTAAATTTATAAGGAGAACTTTGTGCAATAAGCTTTCTAAAATAAGATAAAAATTATGAATATATAAAAATATATGAATATATAAATGAATATATAAATATCCAGAAAGTCTTGTTTTTTAAATACAAGCCATTTGTAAATAAAGACTATTTGAATAAATTTAAACGACAAGATTGCTTTAAAATATCTGTAAAAATGAGCAGAAACTATCCTTTTAATAGTTAGTAAATGATCCTAAAAGGCAGGTAAACACAAGTGAACAGAAACACAAGTGAGCAGAACAGCTGTTGAATGAAATATACGCTTTTACATATAAAATTCCAGAATAACTATAGTTTCTGCCCATTTTTAGAACTTGCATAAGTACAAGACACATCACATTTTTACAATTAAGCAAATAATAACGAAATAGCATGCAGCAAATTTCGTCATAAAATCACTTTTTCATGTTTATAAGTTCAGCTATTTATCGTAGCGAGGCGCTGTAACACATAAACTCAAGCATGAGTCTATGTACGCTGAGAGTATACAATATAATATTATATATGGGCTTGTGCTTGTGTGTGTGTGAGATTTCGCCAGTCGCCGACTGATTTTGAATCGCATGCTGACTACTCAGGAGCCTTAAGACTTAAAATTTAAAGGCACAGGTACATAGGGATTCATAACTTTAACGTAATCCGTAAAACATAAGATCTGTAAAACATAATATCGAGATTTCGTATAGTCTACAACAGGCTGTCCGCTTTGACTATAAACCATATACACTACTTTACAGGCTTTATACCAAAGTTATAATATCCTAGTTACAAATATCGATGTTATGAAACTGGTCAATCATAATCATTCCATTCTTCAGAGGAATAATTATGAATGGTCAGTTTCATAACATCGATGTTATAATTTTGACGTAAAGCGTGCCGACACCGACGAGATACTATTAAAGATCGACATTCTTACGGGAGTTCGCGTCCTTGAGAATATTGAAGTGATTAGTACCCGTTTCCACCAATATAGATTAACTTTAATCTCAATTCAACTTACTTTTCGTTTTTTTCTAATTTTCCTAATTTTTAGAAAAAAAATGCAGAAAAAAAATTGTAATTTTTTTGCAATATATAGAATATTATAGCTTTACAAGTATACATATTTATTTATGGAACATTTATATAATAAAAAATCATGAATTTAATAATGCATGCCAAATATTTATATTAATAATTATATTAATAATAGCAAATTTATGTCATGTCGATAACATCAGCATTCTTCAATTACTTCTGGGTCCTCGAGACCCTTTTTATACCGCTGAAAATTTACACAGGATTGATGATCTTTAATAGTATCTCATTGATGATGTCGTATAATAGAGATCATAGATGTATAAAATAGACTCAGCATTTGCTATATTAAAGTTATAATATGAGTACGACATTACATCTGGAGAAAATCCAGGTGGAAATCTGAACACATCCGTCATTTTTGGTTCCTTTTCTCACTCTTGCTCTTTTCCTCAATCTCTTGTTCTTTCTCTATTCCGTTAAACTAAGAAGATTGAAGAGAGAACAAAGAGTAAAGAAAGACTAAAAATGGCGGATGCGAATATCTATAGATGTGTTCAGATTTCCACCTGGATTCTTCCCAGATGTAATGTCATCCTTGTCTAATGTTCAATTATAAGAAGAATAGATAACTGAATGATATTCGGGGGCTTATTATGGTTCTTTAAACGAAGTGAAAATTACGAAAGATCGAATTTACTATTGTAGAATATTTATAACTTCATTGGTTAACATTTATTGAGTTTGCTTATTTTTATAATTTTTACTTCGTCTAAAGAACCGTAATAAGCCCCCTAAATGCAGCATATATTGGGTGCTTTCCATTTGATGACATAAGTTGACACAAGTCGACACAAGCAGCGTTATATCCTTGTTGATATTTAGAGAGTGACAAAGATAGAATGACACTTGTATCGATTTGTGTCATCAAATGGAAAGCACCCATTAGTTGAATCTACAACAGATGTTTTAACTCTTAAGCTAAGAAATTGACCAATTACAGCTGAATGTGAGAAGAAATAATCAATTGTGATTCATCCATTTCTTATGGCTTAAAGCTTAAAAATCTATTATAGATCCGGGCTTATAGTGCCCTAGCTATATATACCTGGATTTGGCAGAATGGTACGAGAAAAATCTCAGTGTATACTATAGAAATATTTATGGATGCTGGATGGAAATGGATCTATCTTAAGTTGATTCTACATTAGTCGCAGTGTCAGCGTGTCGCAAGCGTTGCAGTCCAATCAGAGTCGAATTAACTTGATGTTTATTGGACTGCAACGCTTGTGACGCTGTGATGCGACCACAAACTTCTATTATAACACTAGTGTTTCGTGGTTCAGATTGACATTAATATCTCACGCTGTATTTTCGTTTATGAATGTTTAATTAAATCGAGTACAATTCACATATCAGGCATAATAAGCATAATGCTTAACAAATACGTTTCGCTGCCTCTATCTACTTATGTTATCGCGTATTTAAGACAGCGATTTTGCTTGGGAGAACTCGAGTCCCTGAATCGCTTTTCGGACAACTCCTGGAGACGCTGTCGAGTCACAACGTATAACTCGACTTTATTCGCGACGACGCCTAAGAGAAACCCTGAAACGCGATCACGTACGCAAAACATTCTAGACTTAGACTCGTTCTGAATTCGTATACGATCCGTACCCTTGCTCAATCCGTGATCAAATGAATATCTACACACCACGACCTCCTACGGGCCCTCTTTCCTGATTGATGTTTCTGATAACAATTCCGAAAATGGAGATGGTTAGCGGCAGCGGTGTTTCGGAATCACAAATGGATTAACGATCATACGCGCCGATCGTTGCTCTGATCTGTGCCGATACCATTTTCTACTCTTAAAAATGCTGATTATCATGATGTCTATACATGTATGCGTGCGTGTGAACAATTAATTTGGTCCGACCACGATTTCGCATTGACGTGCACGTCTATTTAGAATTCTACGCAACACCTAGCTAGCTCCTCACTTTTCCTATTGTCGATAGATAGTGAGTGTATTTCGGATTGGATTAACTTAACTTATTTTTTCCTTTAGATATTGGCAGTTCCGTAACTAAACCGAGAAGTATTCCAAACCCATCGGCTATCAAACTCAGCTACTGGCTTCTATTGGTTACGAATATGACAGCCACCGAGTTCGAAACATTTCTCGATTTAGTTAGAACTGCTCACATCTAGGGGAAAAAATAAGCTAAGCTAATCCGATTCGGAATACACTCAGTATGTATTAAGCCGGTTTTACATTACTTGCAAGCCGAAGTTTGTTGCGACAATCAATATGAAGCGTTGATTTCAAAATACAAGCTTCAGATTGGCTGTCGCAAACATAAAGTTTGCAATTAATGTAGAACCGGCTTTACTTGTGACACATTGTGACGCATTGTAAAACCGCGCATGTGCAGAACATATGTTTATATACTTTCATATAACTTGAAAAAGTTATATATACACAGAATGAACGAAATAGGCTTATTCAATGCGTTTTTGCATTGAAATGAAAGAATTTGAAATAAATAATAGTACACATGATTCGTAAGGAGCTTCGCACAATAAAAGGTACAAGGAACAGAGAACAGAGAATAAGAATTTCAACCTATCAAAAATCATGTAGAATACATAGTTTTTGATAGGTTGAAATTCTTATTCTCTGTTCTCTGTTCCCTGTTCTTTCTATTGTGCGGAGCCCCTAACAATTTGTGAAAATTAAAAGTTAGATCGCCATAATATCTTCTTTTATTCTTAAGAACTAATCACAGAGAGATTGGTCACGTGATTTATTGGCATCTCTTTTCTATACATGATGATTTTCGTTACGCATTTATTAGGCGCAGGTAACACTTTTATACAAAGAAAAGTGGGGAGTTAGCAGTCTTGTGTTATAATAGAAGTCTGTGGATGCGACTAATGTAGAACCAGCTTTATGTTTATACTATAAACATATGGGGTGCTTTCCAATTACAATATCCCTAGACACTTTCGTGCACATGGCGACACAAGTTGCATTCCAATTAGTTTTTTCCTAGGAAAAGTGAAAAATGAAAAATTTCTCCATTAACTTCAATGATTAAAATTTTCACCTTTCACTTTCTATCCTAGGGATAAAGTTTTATTATTGATATTCTAGATATCTATTTCAAGAGAGTTTCAAGGACAATTTATTATTAAATAAAAAATTTTTCAACTTACACAGAGTTATCTATTCTAGGACCATATAATATAAAAGCATCCTCTCTTGAAGTTGATGCTTTTAAAATATTAATTTGTTGTTGCCAATGACGTATTCTTTCCTTTTACTCTTCGCGCTAGAAGCGCTTCGACGAACGTATATTCAAGATCGTATATTTCCATGAAAATGCAGCGGATTAACTTGAAATTTTCAGGGAATATTTCTAACATTATATATACTTTAAGAAAATGTGATTTTTGAAAAATTGATTCTTAAAATTTCTAACTGAGTATACCCTCCTTTAAGCCGATGAATCAATCAGGATATTGCTTTAGATCTACGTAATCTAACGGAAATGGAAACAGTAAATCTATAACTTATCCATAACCTCGCAATAAGGTGAATTTCAATTGGTTGAAACTCGCCTTATGAATAAGTTTACTGCTAT